TCTTTAATGATAACTATATTTTTACATAGGTTTAGTTCTTAAATGTTAACCATATTTTTACATTCAAATGTCCTGGATGTAGAAACCTCTACTGAGGTCATTGTCAACTCATCAAACCGAAATGACACATTCGAGGAAGATCCATATGATTATATTTACAGGCGTATACCTATGGAACATCGCCTTTTGGATGAACAACCTGCATGTACTCATTGGGGAGAAAAATGATTCAAGTTTGAATTCCCTTCCTTCTGCTGCATGAGTGGGAAGACAAAGTTAGCATACTCTCCCATTCCCGAAGAATTATACAATCTCTTTACATCACAATCTGAATTGGGCAAAATGTTTAGGCACAACATACGTGCATACAACACGAACTTTTCTTTCACATCGATGGGTGTAACTTTGGATGAGACAATGAATAATATGACATCCGGTGTATATACTTTTTGTGCAAATGGAGGAGTATATCATAAAATTGATCAATTAGTTCCAAGGGATGGATGACCTAGGTATTTATAGTTATACTTTTATGATGCTGAGTCTGAGTTTTCATATAGACTCCAATGACCCAATCTTGATAGAAGTATCATTGACATTTTGACGCGTGTTCTTGCTACAAATCCATACGTGAGCACATTTCGAAGCCTTGCAGAATTAGGACCACTCGACAATTATAGAGTCACTTTGAATGCATCGGTGGAACTTGACCAAAGGGTATACAACCGACCGACTACATCTGAGTTTTGAATAAAAAACCTTTTTCTTTTTTATCTTATAAACACATGTGATACATAGTACAGACTATATTAAATAATCACATTTTAGGTTGATGGTATTTGGGTTGAAGGCAATGAAAACATCACTACATATAAGAGAAGTATTGTTGTATACGGGAGGTCTGATTATAGCCAAGAAATTCAATCTCACCTCGGTTGTTACGATCCATTGTCTTATCCTTTGTTCTTTCCAAAAGGTGAGTCTGGGTGGCATTCTAAAATTCCAAGACATGGAGTGCCTATCGGTGAAGTTGTTGATGACAATGAAATCATGGAGGAAGATTCTAAAGGTACAAATTCTATCACATATGTTAATATATCATATATGAAGTAACTAATTAGTTTTGAAAGCATACATATCATTAGTTTAAATGTTTCAAAACATTACACAGAGACTTATGCAAGAAGGGGTAGAAATACTGTAGCTATGCGGGAATACTATTGTTACAAGTTCCAGATCCGGGTGACGGAGGGATCATACCATTCGAGCCTTTTTTTCATGCTTTTCCCGAAACGATAATGTGATTCTATTGGGAGGAAGATTACTACAACAATTCGTGGTAGATACCTACATCAAGATTGATACTTCACGTTTGCGTTTCTGTGAACTTAACCAAACCAAGATAAGAGTAGATTTATATCAAGGCATTGTGGATTGCGTTAATGCCGGTGAAGTTCAACCAAGTAGAGTTGGACAACGAGTTGTGTTGCCTGCAAGTTTTATAGGAGGCCCATATGACATGCAACGACGATTGTTGGATGCTATGACTTTAGTTCAAGATGACGGGAAACCCGATATATTCCTTACAATGACATGTAATCCAAAATGGCCAGAAATCCTTAAAGAGCTATTGCCCGGTCAGACTGCACAAGATCGATCGGACCTTGTTGCAAGAATTTTTCGTGCCAAATTAGAGGATCTCAAGGACCAACTCTTCCAGAAGAAGATCCTCGGCACTGTCAAGGCATATGTTTATGTCATCGAGTTTCAGAAGCGTGGATTGCCGCATGCACATTTCCTCATGATAATGAGACCTGATGACAAAATGACCAATCCAGATCATTACGACAAGATTGTATGTGCTGAAATTCCCGACCCAACAAAGTTTCCTGAAATGCACCAGTTGGTTGTCCAACACATGATGCATGGTCCTTGCGGTCATTTACGACCGTCCAGTCCTTGCATGCAAGGTGAGCCGAAAATCTGTCGTTTTAGATATCCTAGACAATTCAACGATAAGATATCACAGGTTGAGAACTCATATCCGTTATACCGGAGGAGAAATATTGGAAGAGATGTGAATGTACGAGGCAATATACTGGACAATAGATGGGTTGTCCCGTATAACCCAAAATTGTTTATGATGTTCAACTGTCATATTAATGTTGAGGCTTGCTCAAGTATAACATCTGTGAAATATCTCTTCAAATATATTTACAAGGGTCATGATAAACAAGTTATGCATATAGATCTAGACGAAGGACAGAGTGTTATTAATGAGATTAAAAGGTTTCAAGATGCGCGTTATGTCTCCCCCCCGGAGGCCATGTAGCGGATTTTTAGCTTTGCGCTTTCTCAAATTCAACCTTATGTGATGGCTTTGCAAATCCATCTCCCTAATAAGCAGATGGTTAGATTTAGAGATGATGATGTAATGACAGATATTGTTGCTAGAGAGAGTGGTAAACGAACAATGTTGACTGCATTTTTCGACAGAAATAAAGAAGACGAGAGTGCAAGACAACATTTATATAAAGACTTTCCAAAAGATTACACATGGAATGCGAGCGCACGTCGTTGGAATCAGAGAAAACAATGATCAATGATAGGACGATTGGTTTATGCTAATCCAGCCGAAGGAGAGCGGTACTACCTACGCCTACTTTTATCTCATATTAGTGGACCTACATCTTTTAAAGATCTATTCACAGTCAATGGTATATTATACCCGACATTCCGGAAAGCAGCACTTGAGAGAGGCTTAATAGAGACAGACGATAACTTATCACAATGTCTTGCAGAGGCTTCTTTATTTCAGTTTCCCAAAACTCTAAGGAGGCTATTTACGAAAATATTAATTTATTGTGAGCCAGGAGATGTTCGCAAGTTGTGGGATCAGCATTACGATTCACTTTCAGAAGATTATAGACGACAATACGAAAGTGTTGACCGAGTTCGGAATATGGTCCTAACTGACATCACAAGATTTCTACAATCTATGGGTAAAAATCTTGATGATTTTGATCTTCCAAAGATAAATGTAGATACCAACTTACAATTTGGAAGTTTTCGTGAGGTATAAGAGGAATACTCCATAGTTGTGGAAGACGAACTTTTACGTGCCCGAGAATCCCTTAATTTCGACCAAAAATACGTATATGATGAGATCATGAAGCACGTAGACGATGATCGTTCAGGAGTGTTTTTTATAGATGGTCCAGGGGGATTGGAAAAACATATTTGTACAAAGCATTGCTTGCCAACATTCATTCTCGTGGTCTCATTGCTCTTGCCACTGCTTCTTCAGGTGTTGCAGCTAATAATATGCCTGGGGGGAGAACAGCTCACTTCTGATTTAAAATTCCCCTTAATCTTAATAACAACTCCATGTGCAACATAAAAAAACAAAGCAGGACTGCTAAATTGCTACGGAATGCAAATATAATCATTTGGGACGAAGCGTCAATGGCTAAGAGGCAGGCGGTGCAGGCGCTTGATCGAATAATGCAAGACATCACAGGGGTGACACTACCATTCGGTGGAAAAATAATGGTTATGGGAGGTGATTTTAGACAGGTCTTATCGGTCGTGAGACATGGAACCTGAGCAAAGATTGTAGATTCAAGCCTATGAATGTCACCTCTTTGGTCTTCAATTAAAAAAATACGTTTAACTCTCAATATGAGAGCACGAAGTGATCCATGGTTTTCAGATTTTCTATTACGAGTGGGTGATGGAGATGAAGAAATTATGGAAGAAAGCTTTATACGTATTCCCGATGACATGGCCATTGCCTATACTGATAAAAATAAATCAAAGCATGATTTGATTGACGCAATATTTCCATTTCTGCAAATCAACGGAGCAGATTCAAACTATATTATTTCGAGGGCGATATTATCAACAAAAAATGAAAATATCGATGAGATTAATGATCAATTGATTGATAGATTCTGCGGCGATGAAAAAGTTTACTACAGTTTTGATGAAGCAGAAGATGACAGAAATAACTTCTATCCAATGGAGTTCTTAAACTCGCTGACTGTCAGTGATTTGCCCCTGCATTACCTCCGGCTCAAAATTGGATGCCCAATAATACTATTGCGGAATATCGATCCCTCTAATGGCTTATGTAATGGAACCATATTGATATGTAGAGGATTTCAACAGAACGTAATCGATGCAGAAATAGCTATTGGTCAGCATGCTGGAAAGAGAGTATTTTTGCAGAGAATTCCTCTTTGTCCATCTGAAGATAACATGTTCCCCTTCAAATTGAAGGGAAAACAGTTTCCAGTCTGGCTTAGCTTTTCTATGACAATTAATAAAGCTCAAGGATAGACCATTCCTAATGTTGGTGTGTATCTACCAGAATCAATATTCTCTCATGGACAACTTTATGTGGCGTTATCAAGAGGGACATCACGTGAAAATACAAAGGTATTAGTAAAGCCTGCCACAAAATTCAGTCGTGACGGAGTCTACACATCAAACATGGTGTATCAAGAAGTTTTACGCGATTAATAAGGTACAAACGAGACTTACTATTACACATTTTTTTACAACTATGCTTGATATGTATCTATTATAATCATAAAACATTTCTTACAGGGTATTTCTACATATGAATGCTTCAAGTGGTATCTTCTTATACTCTGTATGTGTCGATTTATATTATTTTAGATGATTATATCTCCGTTTTGTTTAAACATGATTTTTGTTTTTTTTGTTGATCATGAGTTGCATTAAGTGAAAATCATTATTAAACAATCTAAGAATAACAATTGATGTGTGTTTGGAAATCCGTTAATCGTGCAATTCTCTTTTCAAATCTTCGGTCAATCAACCGTAATAAAATTTGAAGTTTATAATGATCATAAACGTCATACCTTTGATTTACAAAAAAACATTCGCATCCCGCCGCATTGCGCGGGTATTCAACTAGAACATTTATTAGTTTTCTTGATCATTGGTCATGATTAAAATGTGTTATATTAGGAAAGTAAAAAAAATAAAAATAAAAGGTTGAATATTAAGAAAGGGCAAAACTGGCAACCCATTTTTAACTTTCAGCCATATTGTTCGATCATTTCCTGTTTTCAGATAATTTTATTTTGGAAACTGAATAATTTTATTTCATGTTCAATATTCAAAAAAGAATTACCCTCAGATTCATCTTCATTTGATCAAACATTATTGGATTTAACAAACATTTCATTAGTGAGATCAGTTTTATGAATGAAAAAAATTCACTCATAAATAATACAATTTCATTAGTGAAATTGGTTTCATCAATAAAAACATTTTTGAAATTGTATCTCATTTTTTTGTTAGTGAAATTTGTTTCATTGTTCGTCTGTATAATGAAATTTGAGTCATATATGGTTCAGTCAACGAAACATCTTCCAAAAAACTGAATAAAATGTTTTCATTTATGAAATTCGTTTCATCATTGAAATTGGTTTCATGGACTCCACAATTTCAAAAATTGTATGACATTGTTTCAACAGTGAAAATTGTTGAAATGTTTCCTAACCAAAATAGAATCGGTTTCATGGTTTCTAACCAAAATGAACATGGTTTTACATATGAAACTAAATATTGTTCAGTCAATGAAACACTTCAAGAATTGAATAATAATATTTCATTCATTTTTAAATTTGTTTCATGTTTCCTAACCAAAATGGAATCGGTTTCACAGTTTATAGCCAATAAGAAATTGGTTTTATTAATGAAATCAAATATGATTCAGTCAATGAAATATTTCAAGACCTGAATACTATTATTTCATTAATGAAAGTAATTTCATGGTTCCTAACCAAAATGAAATTAGTTTCATTTTTAAAACACTTTGAAAACTGTATAACATGGTTTCATTAATGACATTTGTTTTACGAATGAAAACAAAACAATATACTCAAAATCTGAAAAATATCACAACTATATTATTAGTAAATCAGTAACTACTTGTGGCTTGAAAAAATATCGATTCTTTTGTTATTATGACAATGAAATAAATAATTAAGAAATAAATTATTACAAATAGACTTTGTAATTCATGTAGTATTTTTATTTTAATAAAAGAATATAAAATATTAATGGTAATAATTATATATTAAAATCAATTCATCTACAGTTAGTTATTCTATTTAATCTTCCATATTTAAAAACAATTAAAACATTACCAAGATTATCTATTACAAAGTAAAATGACATTCATACCCTTATTCATTAAAAATAAAGAGAAAAACATGGAATTATTCTATAGGTTGATGGTGGTTTCTATTGTTTGCATGAAAAAGGAGGGTTTGCAAAGTAAACCCCCCCTCTCTCTCTTTATATATATATATATATATATATATATATATATATATATATAAAGAGAGAGAGAGAGAGAGGAGAGCTAAGATCGTTTGTTAACTATGAAAAATGTATTAACTATACAAATCATTTAAACCAATTACAAGCCTTTGTAAGATTAGGTTCTTTTATCACCATACAATTAATACTGAGGACACAATGGTAATCTTCTTCTTTTTTGTCTTAACTTCACATTCATTAATGGACGGTTAACAAAAACATAAATCCCATGGTTATGGCTAAAATAATATGTTTTTTTTTCCAAATTATAGGTGATTTGTTATTTTAATATGATAAGAAAACTTGGATGTTTTATCTTCAACATATATGTAGTTGCCAGTTCCAATGTGTTCATAAAACAATATTTATATACATCTAACATTTGGTCAATATATGTTCACAAGCAAAACACTTTGATTATATATTATTGTGTTCACATGTGAAAACCAATTACTTTAATGTTTATAAGTTTTAATAGGTGCAAATAAGTATTCATAAGTGTTCCCGTATGTTCATATGTGAAAGTCACGTATTAAAATTAGTTAAGTTACATATACGTTCATATGTATTCATAATGCAACACGAATGATTCTACGAACTATAAAAGGAATGAGCAATTATTGATTTGTAACCGATGTAATTAATTATCAATTTACAACCGATTTGAACATCTCTTCCAAAAATATCCTTGTTCACCTATGTTTTGATATCCTTCATTTTCAATTAATTACAAATATGCCACAATTCATCTCATCCATAGATTTTAAAAATCAAGGGCAAAGATTGGTTCACAAAGTTAACACCAATTATTGGTTCACAAAGTTAACACCAATTATTGGGTTAACAAAAGAATATACATATATATATATACATATATATATATATATATATATATATATACCGGAAAATCACCCACTTCGGGAAAATAACTATCCTGTTTTAATTTAAAACCTGTAAATGCGAAGAAGAAAAAACTGCTAAAGCATGAAATACTGCTAAATATCATACGTTAACTTCATGCCCAATATAATTGTCCAGGTCAAAATAGCACACAATTGTTTCAAACAAAAACTAAAAATGTTCCAATTCAAATTGTTCCAAACACAATCAAATCAAGTTTTTTAAAACAAACAGATGCTCAATACTCTGATGTTGGTTGCAACAGAAATTACTGAGATTGACTGAGTTGCTTGACCAAAGCAGCCATCTCTTCAAACTGTTTCTCCCGTCTCTCATCCCTCTCCCGCCAAAACTCATCTTCCCTCCGTCGATGCTACTCTTCCTCTTTCTAGCGCTGATTTTCTTCCACCAAATCTTTAAGTTGGGTCTTTAAGGCGTCAATTTCCTATAAATAATGAAAATATTAGAATAGTTTAATATGAGTTATAAACTAAATCGATAAACATCATCAAAGGATAAGAGGTACACACCCTGTTATCCGAAGATGATGGACCACCCTGTGTGGATCTCCCGGTCAAGACCCAAATGGGATCCTGGTTGTACCCAAACCCAAATAGACGGCCTTTCTTGTTTCCCCCAACCGCCTGCTCCCACAACTCTGTATCAACTATGGGATAGGTGGAGGGATTATCGTCGTACCTTTCGTTAAGACTCGTTGAATAGTCATCTTGTGGTTTTAAAAACACTACAAGTCAATTTCGACAGCATAACGGCTGTAAATGGGATTTCATTTCCAACCAAAACAATCATAACGTTTCCCCAACAAATGGCAATCCAAACTAAATAGAGATACATACGAAACTTCTAACTTAAACAACCTAATGTTTGCCTAACAAATGACAACTCAAGCTAGATATATATATATATATATATATACACATACATAATAAGATTTTAATTTAAATGATTTGAACGTTTGCCCAACAATTAAATGCAACCCAAACTAGATAGATAGTTATCCAATTATAAACATTAAAGTAGATAGATACTTACCACAACATGCTTACACTTAGAGGTCATGTACCCTCCGGAATCTACAGATGCGGCCTCTCCACTTAACCTTTTCTTATGTGTGTAATCGAACAATTCCACAACGGTCGGTGGAACACTCTCTTTTACTAGCATCTACAAAGGTCAAATAATACGAACATGTGTTAATGATAACATATTAAAAATCAAGCTTGTTGGTCCCAAATGGATCTACAAGAGTTTTAAAGGTAACAATTTGTAGGAGGGGTTGAATACAAATTGAAATTTTCACTTTTTATATTCATTCATTGATTAAAGAAGATCAATACATAATTTACAGATTGTTGCGGGAAAAGATAAGGTTAAGACCTAATCTAAACAATCTAAAAGTGACAAAGAATATGCACAAAGAAAGATAAGAACAAGAAAGAAGAGAGTTTGAGGAAGAAGAAGGCGTTTGTTGAGAAGACGAGTCTTCTCAGCTATTTATATCCATTGCATTTAATGCAAATCAAATGGTACAAACCACGTGACAAACTTCTATTGGAGAGCTTGTCCTTTGTCTTTAGATATGCAGGCTTTTGGCCGCCTATGAACAATTGACTTTTATGAAGTTGATAACCATGTTTGAAGACAATAAAGTAACTCCGTACATGTAGCTTTCTGTGTAAGGTATGTGGTTGTCCTTTTGTGCATAAAGGATAATACAAACTAGTCTTGTAGAGCAAGATCCATCTGATCGTTGGCATTGATTCATCTCGAGGGTTTTTCAGTGTTTGCTAAGTCTTGGTCATATTTCACACTTTGATTTAGACATTCTTGTTATCACTGAATCCACTTTAGATCACGAACTGTTATATCTCTGTTTTCAACTACTTCTTCGACATTGCTGAAAGTTCCTTTGGTGTGAGTTTTGTCTTTTAGGAATACTTGTTTCTTTGAGAAGTTTACACTAGATATTGAGCGATCACTATATAGAATCAGAGATGTATATGTCACTAAGTATGAAGGGTCATCATCAAATCATTGATAGAGTTTGGATCAACAATTTC